GGGGGAGGGGGATAGCCATAGGGTTGTTTACCGCCCCGGGGGGCCGCTCCCCGCCCCGGGGCACGGAGCCGGGCTGGCCCCGGCTGCTCTGCTCACCCTTTAACTCTTTCAGGTGGTTGTCCCTCGGCAAAGCTCTTGCCCTGGCCGGGTGCGGGCTCTCGCCAGATAATGCTGCTAATAGAGCTAGTTACAAATCCCAATTAAGGGCGTTTTTAATTCATTAAAGTGCTCTCCCAGGGATTAAAAGCCGCACAAAGGCTGCTGTGTTAGGACCCGGAGGTTCTAACTGAATCCTTTTGCTTCTGCCTTAGCTGGGAGAGACGCGAAAAGTAAGCAAATATCTGCGGTGAGGGATAAAATGGGTTTTAAAACCGGAACGCTTTAACGTGTCGGGTCTAGTTGCAGTCGTTATCTTCACCTCTGTCCCGATACTGGAATTTAATTGCCACTTAATCGCTGTGGCTGTCCCCTCGTTGCCTTAAAAACGATTATAAAGTTGGCTGCCTCTCCACAATGCCGTCGATGCTTGCTGAGGGCGTGTTCGCCCGGCCCCAAATTCATCGTTCTAGAGGTTTGTGCTGAGCCGTGCTGAAAACCTCCTGCCGGAACCCGCCGCCCTACCTGAGCTCCGGGGAGTACGAGGGCACGACACGCCAGGGTGCTGCTGCACCTGAGGCGTGCCTGCTGGCGTGCTCGCCGAGCAGCAGGGACCTGCCCGAGGTGTGCGGTAACCGCTCGTCCCCCCGGGGCGGGAGAGGCGACACCTCAGGTGCGACAGTCTCCAGCGAAGGTGTGGGCTGGAGGTTCTCCAGCCTGTTGCAACACCCTCGGCGGTTCATTGTTGCTTTACTGGCGGGGAGGGGGGGCGCGTGGAGCCAGGCCAGATGGTGTATTGTGCCTTCGGAAGGAGTCTAAGGCTCTTTTCAGCTGCCAGGTAATGCATTATTGCTCCTGACATTCAAACCACTAATCCCCTTCGTATCGTTTCATTTGCAAGCTAAAGCTATGCTGTTGCCTGCTAGGTAAAAACGCCGATGCCCTGCCCGGGCTTTTCATTCGGGGCTCCTTGTTTAGCACAGGGAAGAGCTGGCAGAGGGGAAGAATAATGAGGTGGGTGTCGTAGCCTGCGGGCGTGTTGTTTGAGACACGGTCTGAGCACCTTGGAAGAAGACTCAGAAGGTGCTAGGGATGCTGGAAAGTTGTCTGTCGCTTTTAAAAGCAGGACCTGGTAGGTAAATTGGGTTAGGACAGGAGCGTGGCTGGTTTGAAAAGGAACCTTGGCAAAACAATCTCTCTTTTCAGGCATGCGGTGTGAATAGCACAGCGCTGGTTGTAAACAGGGCGGTGGGAGGTGGCCAGGAGACTGGAGCTTGTTTGTAGTTGGCCTTTCCTTTGTTTCTTCAAGCTGACTGTATTTTGATATCAGTGAACCTTGAAGGGCAGGGAGTGGGATCTGCTTAAGCTTCTTTTTACCTAAAAGAAACAAAAAAAATAAGAAAGACCATTGTTTTCAGCAGGTCCAGTTTGTGACACAAAGTCCAAAATACACGCGCCAGTTGTAATGGTTGGGGATTAAAGCTGTAGTTGTCTTTCTGGGATTTACAGTAGGTGGGAGCTGTGTTTCTGCTGCTCTTTGCTCAAGGGGAGGCTAGTGCTGGCTCAGCAGGGGCTTGTGGCAGGTCAAAATGGAGAGCTGGGAAAGCTCCCGGGTCCTTTGGCTGGGAAAAATCGAAGGGAAGCTGCAGCCAGGGCTTGAGATGTGCTGGGAAGCTGAGGCAGGAGCCGCTCGGTGCTCAGCACTCAATTTTGGGCTACAATGGTCTTCACTGTACTCTTCTCTTGCTCTCCTGGGGAAAAATAGTAGCTAAATATAGCTGGGATTTTTTTTAAGAATGATGTATAAAGCATAAAGAATTTAGTAATGTAATGAAAGCTGAGAAGAATTCAGGGAAAACCAGTGTGTGATAAATTCCTGCCCATTTTTTAATAGAAATATGGTCGAGCGTCTCATCCCTGCTATCTCCTTTTAAGGCAGTATTCTCAGAAGCACCAAACCCTAGATGCTAGGTTTAACATTTCAAAAGTAATTATTTAGGGAGAGTGGCGGGATTCTGGCAAAAAGCTGAGCTGCTGGGACCGTGGACAAAAGGCATTTCGGATTCTGTCTTTGGGGTGTAGGAAAGTGAGGTTATAGCAAATGTGTTCAGCTTGAAAATACAATTAAACAGTCTGAAAATTGAATGCAAGTTTGAGCCTGAGGCTGTTAAACATGAAGCTGATTGTTTCACGGTCTCCTGCACAGGAAAGAGTATTGGCTTTGCACTCTATTTATCCTCTTCCTGGGGAAAAAGATGAAAGCATTTTATATTCATACAGACAAATATTTGTCTATCTTTCAGATTCTGCCAATCTCCCAAGGTCGGGGCTTGAACCCTGCCAGATAAAGTCCACAACCGCCCCCCGCTCTTTTCCCAGCCATGCGAACAGCGGGATGAAGCTGGAAGCTGTGGTCGAGCAGCTGCAGAAGCAGCAGCAGAAGCAGCAGCCGCCTCTGCAGATGGATTCCAGGGAGAGACAGCAGAGGCAGATGAGAGAAGCCCAGCTGCTCTACACACAGCAGCTGGCTGTGCAGCAGGCTGTCCTAGCAGCCACATCTGGCAGGGCTTCGGGCGGCTCCGCCGTCGCTCCCTTGGCCAGAGGCCCGCCTGCACCCGGAGCCACGCGAGCTTTTGATCAGAGCAGCATGAATTCGGAGCCAGAAGAGGAAGAGGAGGATGAAGAGGAGGAGGAAGAAGAAGAGGAGGAGGAGGAGGAGGAGGAAGAAGGGGGGTTGGAAGGTGGTGATCTGGAGGATGGAGCCAATGTGACTGGGAAAGAAACCTGCTCCACACTGAAATATTTCCACGCTCCCAAAGTCGCCCATCACAACCAAAGAGTGGCCTCTACCTCAAATCCTCTCCCGCCTTTGGGGCACCAGCGGGGACAGCAGGGCAAAGAAGAGCAGGGTAAAGACACTACTAAGCAACCGTATTCCGGTTCCCCGTCCGGACGCCAGAGCTGGCGGTTGGATGAGCAGCTCAAACAGGTCAGTGGTAACGTTCCTTCCCCCAGTGAGAATGCTGGATTCGGTCAGAGCAAGGATGTCTGTAGCCCAGCGTGGCTGCTGCCCTCTCCCACACTGGTTCTTTTAGAAAGAGATTTTCCAAAGAACTCGATCTGCTTTCCAGATGCAGGTTTCTAGCTAACGATGCAGAAACTGCAACTTGTCAGGACGTTTCTGGGGAGGTGGAGGTTTGATCTTTGGCTCATTTCTCCCCTCTCTCACCATTCAGAATGCAGCAGGTTGGTGTTGTATTTATTTTTGGTGCAGACACTCACCTGTCAATGTCTCACTGGAGTCATTTCACAGACATGTATAAGTCCTTTGTGTAAGGCCTGTGGGATGCAGCTGGATTTGTGGTGGGCTACGTGTCCTGCCACTCATCCTGTGAGACAGCAGAGCCACCTTGTATTCACAGTTTGGGAGGAAGGAGCTGCTGTGCTACTGCTTGGTTTTGGTAGGAGGTTAATTTGGTGTTTGAATAAAGATTTACTCCTTTTAGATGAATGCCAGAGGATCAAGAATTCTTTTCTTGATTGTGTGTATTTTGGTTAACGTAGCACTTACATGCTGTATTGATAGACCTGAATTGAATGGACTTACAGAGACACTGAGCCAAAGGACTGCATGGCTTAAATAATTTAAAAAGTTGAATTTGATTGTCCCTTGCTGCAGCTGTTAGCATAACTGTTAAGGTTTTGATTCAGATGAAGTTCTTTGAGCTGAGAAACCTTGTGTGGGCAAAACCAGAGCTGTTTTCTCCTTCCCTTCTGCAAACCCACTGAAATAATAAAGCTGGAGTTGCTTTGTGGTGGCTGGTGAACCATAGATGTTGGAAAGTTTGCTGTGGGTGCTCAGGGCAGGCTCTTACCTCAGCTGGTGGTTGCATGCACAAGAAGATTTGGTTTATGCTGCCACAGGCAGCAGTTTGAGGAGGAACTGCTAAAGTTCAGGGAACTTTAGTAGTTCTCCCATTCTGTTTAGTGCGGCACAGCTGCTCCCACAAAACTGGACCAGTTTGGTGTTTCTACACCAATGAGTGTGGCAGGAACTCCTCGAAGTTGCCACGTGAAGGGCATTTGTACTCTTGGTGCAGCTTGTCGGCACAGTGCACGGGGTGTAGCAGGCAACCAGCTGCTGTTTTCTCTCTGCTTGCTCCTCAAGAGGGGTTGGGCTGAAAAAAAAAAAAAAACAAAAAAAAAAACAGAATTACGGGGCCAGTCATCTGTAAACAAAAGGCTAGTGGAAATGAGGTGGGTATGTCAGTCAGGGGGCAGTTGCTAGAGAAATTGCTTCAGAATTTACTGGAGTGTTGGGTGAAAACTTCCTCTTTCAGGTCTCTTGGTGGAGAAGAGTAGGCAGGGCTCTGGTCTTAGGGGATTGCTTTCTATAACAAAACAAAACCTTTGCATTAGGCTTTGGGTGGTTTATGTCCAGCTTGGCCAGTGCTAAAAAGTATGTTATTGTGTTTCTTTCCAGTGCTTGCTTATCTTGTGAGGGTCCTGTGAATCTTACTGATTTAATAGGCTTGATTCCTAGGTCGTTTGCCCTGTTCTGGAAAGCCAAATGACCATAAGCATGCTGGAACTGGTGTTAGCTGATGTCAAATAGCCAAAAAAGAATTAATAAAAATACTATTTTACAGACCAGGCACTGATACTGATCCAATTATTTTGGTCATTCCAGTGGTAATGGAGTATTTTGGCTGTAGGATACAGCTTAGTTTGGTTTCAGACCCTACTTACTCTGGAGGCCAAAGTGCAGGAAGCAAGACTAAAAGAAAAACTCTTGCTGCTGTGTGAATCTGCCTCGCTGCTGGGGAAGCAGCTACTACAGCAGTAAAGAAAGGAATTCAGAGCAATTCATGGGTATCAAGTTAAAGGACAGATTAGAAAGGAGTAGCCAGGGATATGGTGTGTTGCAGGAGTTCTGGAGGGTGGCAAAGCATGGCAGAAAAAGGGGGCAGATTCCCGTGTTGTTCTGAAGTACTCTCAGATGGGGATACTGGGCTAGATGGTCTGGATACTGGGCTAGATGCTCTGTCTGGTGAGGCACAGCTTGTGTTTGTAGTCACACCGGTGAGCCACATCATTAAGGTGCCTCAGCGTGCTCAAGAGGCCATCCCGAAGCGCCCAGTGCCTGGGATGCTGGTGTGGTATATTCACCTTGAGTAGGGTAAATATTACAGATCAACTTGTTTGCATTCACCAGCACGGGCTGCATACCAGGGAGTAAAAATTTAACTGCACCATACCAGTTCTGAGCTGGTGAACTAGGGGGTGGTCCCAGGAGGAATAAACTGAGGTGGGAGGGCAGGAAAGAATTGTTAAGGTGACCAAAATGGGTGTGCAGCTGGGGGCTGTCCACATTGTTCTCTGTGCTTAATGGTGGCACTGTGTGAGCCCTGCTTGAAATTTTTCATTTCTAAGACGTACTTTAAAGATATTGGACTTTTTCTTTTGGTCTTTGTCTAAAAACGGTTGTGTTAGGCAGAAAAAAACAGGCTCAAATGCAGAAGTGACTGCATTTTGTTTTCAAAATGACTCCTGAACTTGTCTTTTTTTTTTTTTTTCCTGAGCTTGTGTTGAGGTGGAGGCTAATAACCAGTCAGTCCACAGTGCTTCCAGCTAGCTCCACTCTGGGAGCATTTGTGGTATGCGGAATGGCTGTTGCTTGCGGAAGGGGGTGGGGGGAGAAGTCACTTCTATTTCTTCTTTCAAGTGTGGATTGTTCTTCTAAAAGTGATGCCCTTGGAGAAAAATGCCTCTTGAAAGCATAAGGCTAAGATTGCCTGGAAGGTATGTGGCATGAAGATGGCAGAAAGGTGGAAACAACTGCTGAGATGAAGTCCCATTCTGTTCTGGCCCGGACAGCCAAGTAAATAATTGTAGAACAAGCCAGCAGACAAAAGAGCTGGCTCAGCTTATGACACAGGGGCGGTGGGAATCCTGTCAGCACAAAACAACAAGGGAGTGGAGCTGCTTGTCAGGGAGTTGCAATCCCAAAAGAAGACCCAGGGAGGGGGGGGAGTATGGGGGGTGTGATCAGCTCGTTCCTCGGACTTGCTCGAGTCCCCTGCAAGCCATCGCCCTTTCCAAAAGGGCGTTTGTGGGCTGTCTGTCCTGGAAGAAAAACGAGTTTTTAATCCTGCGGGTGCAAACGTTGCTTTTAGCAGATGGTTGGGTGTGGGATCCTCGCCCTGCGGGTTCTCGCATGGCGTGGTGATGGCTCTGGTTACCACAGAGAGCCTGGTGGGAGAGGCAGGACCACAGCCACCGTCTCGCTGCTCTTCCACTCGGGGCCGGTGTTGTGTGCAGCAGTGCCGGGAGCAGTCCTGTCGGACTGTTACTCCAGCACCCACATCGAGACCCGCATTCCCATGTGGAATGTAAAAATAAAGGCAAGGTTTTCAGGCATCAGCTGGTATTTAATGCCTTCTTAAAACACGTGAGGTAAGTCTCCCTACAGCAGCTTTCTGACTTCCAGAGAGTGGTTTGTGCTCTTTGTTTTGGGGATGTCTCGTGTTAGATTCTCCAAAATCACCTGAAAATCCTGACCTAAGTTTTTACAAAGGTCACGGTGCTTATTGAGATAAGTCAGCTTAAAATAATTACTTTGCTTTTGCTCTAGGCTCTAAGAATGAGTGGCTGAGATTCCATAACCTGAAGTATGTGTCTCAAGTGGTGTGTGGCTTGAGGTCTTGCTCAGGAGATACTCTTTAATCTGGAGGGGGCGAAGGTCCCAGGAATAAAAATGTTGCATTTCACAGGGTGCATTTTTCACCATCTGTTTATTTCAGATATCCAGGGCCCAATTCATGGCTTGAACTTTTAATTCCTAATGTGGGTCACTGGGTACTTTTTTTATGGTGTAGTGGGAGGAGAATTCTTTAACAGCTGATATTGGACGCCTGGTTTCTCTTTTACTGAATGCTGTCTTCTGCAAGAACAGATTATAATTCTTAAATTGCCAATTGTTGCTTCTCTTGAAATTCAGGGGTTAGGTTTGTTTTGATGAAGTCTCCACCCATGTGATTGTTTCTACTGTACCACCTCACTTGGTGTGTAACAAACTGCAACACTGGTGGTTGGAGTGTCAAAGCCACTTTTTCAGTCAACATGCCAAGTAACGTATGGGAGGGGAGAACCACAAAAGAGACATCAGAGAATTCTCCCAGCTCCTCACCTCAAGAGGCAATTCCATGGGCTTCATCAAGGCTGTGTCGTATTGCAGTGACTGGGCTGTAGCTGGAGGCAGAGTGGGGAGCTCGTTTGTATCCTGGGGAAGATACAGTTCATTTTAGGATTTATTTGCATGCTAAATTTATCTTTATGAATAGTTGCAGCTCATCTCCTTTGGTACCAATTTACAGAAACTGGAGCTAACACTGGAGACAGGAGGTGGAAAGAGCTCAAATGTGTTGTCTTCTTACAATTCTGCTTTTCTCACTTCAAGGTAAATCTGAGCCTCTTGTATGGCAGCAGCAATTTCTCTTCCCACAACCATCTAGCACTGAACAAATCTTCTTGTCACTTAGATTTTAGTTAATTCCTCTGAGTATTTGTGAATAGGAGTCATTCACAAAGAGTCAAACTTTTCCTTAAGGATAAGAAAGCAGATTCCTGTTTGGCAAAGAATTGTGTTGCAGTCACTAGGTCATGGGAGCACATAAAAGATACTTTAATAAAAAAATATAATTAATCTGTTAACTTCAGTCTATTCTTTTCCTTTCCTTCCCCACCCTCCCTGCCATTCCTGAAATCCCTAACATGTTTTCAAACTCCAACTTTGAAGCTTGTAGTGATTGAGTTGAGCTCTGTTATTAGACAGAGAAGGGTTTATTCCAGTTTCAGCAGAGCTTTACCAGGCAGCTTGTGCATGCAGTAATTATAACTTGGTTCTCCATGCTTGAGAACTTGGAGCTCAGGGCAGTAGTCCTGATCTTATCAGCGTTTTGTAGTACAACAGTTTTCTTTATAATAGCATCTGTTTCACTTCCTAAGGCTTAACTCTACCCACAAAAGGAATTTCTGTGGATTCTCTGATAATCCTGAAATTGCTGCCCCTGTACCTTTTCATTGAGTCAGTGCTTTCAGTTAACCCATGGGGTGTTTTGTTTTTGTTTTTGTTTTTGTTTTTTTTTCCACTCTGACATTTAGCCAGTCCCTAAGCCTAAAATCTGTCAAAACTGCAGATGTGCAGTAGAGGAGGTGCACAATGATTTTAAGGTTTTATTTCTCTTCTTTTACACATTAAAGCTTTAGTGGGTTCTCTCCAATTCAGAGATCTGCCGTTTGAATATGACTTCGTAGCGTGGGCTTTAGCTGAGCCCCTCTCAAGTACTTGTGTGAATCTGGGGTGGGAAGGAGAAGGGAATGATCTGGGAAATTTGGAATTTCTCACCTGTGTCCTTGTTTGCATGCTAACAGCATTTTGTACAGGCACAGCTGGAGGAGGAGCTGATGAGCTGCTCTTCAGCTTCCATTTAATACTTCCCTTTTCCTATTGAGCATGAAGTTTTGATACTTTGAAGTGTCTGGGAGAGACAAAGGTGTGAGGTGCTGATATTTGAGAGGTTGATGTCCTGCAGGGAGGGGCTGAGGCTGCTTGTTGATAAGCTTTATATCCTCCAAAGAATGGGCTGGATGAAGCAGGGAAGTGATTTGTCATCTCCTTTTCTGCCTGCTTCTTGGCAACTCAGGGTTAACTCTGGCTTTTGAATGGGGGATTGGAAACCAAAATTGCTCTGGACATCTGAGCTTCCCTCTAATAAGATATTCCAGGTGGTTAGGGAGTAATCCTAAAATAGCTCCAGATATAATTGCCTCTGAAGCCAGGCCTGCAGCTTCTCGGGGAGGGGGTGGTCCAGAGGAGCTCCGATGGCCTCCGAGGTGTGTCTGTGGCATGGGGAAGATTCCCTGGCTCTGCCAGCAGCCCCTGAAGGGAAGCAGCCTTTCCCAACACCTCTGCCTTTCTGCTCAGGCTTTGCATTTGGGGTTCCAGAGGAGCCTGTGCCACCTCTGCCACCTTTTATTCTGCAAGAAGCCAGATCAGTCCTTGACTGTGGTAACGCAAGGGCTGGTTGTTTGGCATCAGCAAATTCCCTGGGTAGGAGCGGGTGGAGGGGAAGGCAGGATGCTCCCCAGAGAGTGACCTGCCTCTCTGAACAGTGTTTTTTTTCCTTCCTGTTACTATTGCATGACTTATACAAAGGTCTTTTAATGACTTGTGAGGATATATTGATTTCTCAGGTTCCTGCTGTTTATATGGAGGAGGGCTTCTCAGCATAGGGGAACTTTGTTTTCCTAGGAGGAAGAGAAAGGAACTTGATAACAAAGCTCCTGCTGAGCTTTCTTGCTGTGCAAAATGGAGTTTGTTCTACATATGGAACATCTCTTGCTTCAGTAGCTTTGTGGGGTTTTTACTGATTTGTACAGAGTTGTGCCCGGGTCACTACTCTGACCACTGCTGATATTTGGTGTCTTTGATTGTAGCCTTGGCATAGACCCAAAGGTTTTGGCGAGCAGAACAGCCCCTCAAGATCAAAGCTGAGGCCTGGGAAAAGTGCCTGTTGGTGCTTGGGCTCTGTCCTCTGAATAAATAAGGCTTTATTGCTGAGCTGACATTTCAGGCTACCCTGAGACTCTGCGGACTCTGCTACCCAGCCAAACCTGTGCTCTGTCCCCGTGTTTCTGCAGCCTGTGTGTCATTCCGGTGCTCCCTCGCTGACTGCACCAGGGTGGATGAGCAGCCCCCTCCTTATCTCTCCTGATAGCTTAAAGTGGAGAGGGGTGGCTGGGTGTAAACCTTTCCAGCCGTCCAGGATGAAATCTTAATGCCCTCCCCTGTCTCTCACCTCGGATTGCTCTGTGTCACGCCAGGTGATTCCATCTCTGCCTGTTTTCTGGACATATGGCAAACCCCTGGTAGCCTCAGCGAGCTTCTTTAAGCTCCTTTTCACTAGTGAGGTGTGGGGGAGCATTCCTTCTGTACTCTCGGGGTGGAGGTATGGGAATTAGGGTGTGCGTACTCTGCTTATTCTCTGTAACAATCCTTAATCTCATCATTCTTTTCTAATTGCCCTTTTTCTTCAGATGGAACAAGTAAAATAACTTCTAAAGAGTCTTTAACCCCACTAAAAGTTTTGTTCATGGAAATGTTAGCGAGTTCAAACCCACTGGCAGCAGAAGATGGTCTCCTTGTCCTCAAATGTAGCGGAATAAGCTCTCAGCATGACCGAAGTTGCCTATGAAAGCAACTGTTTTGCTTCTGGAAGCACACGGTTTAACACCACCAGTAGCTTTGCCCTCTGGATTTATAACCAAACACAAACTTGAGAAGAAAGCAGCTCAACCCTCTACAAATCACATTGCCTTGGAGCGCATAAAGTTGGGGATGGGAAATAGCTGCTGCCTCTTGAGGAGACTATCTCTTATTCTGACTGTTCACCTTGGTTTGTTGAGCTGAGTTAACAGTCGGTGGGCTATTGGGAGCAGCTGGATTTTACTGTAATTAGCAAAAAGAACCCTATGTTTTTAATCTCTGCTAGCAAAGGACACCCAGATAAATCTTCCTATGGACAAAACTAGTCTTCAGATCTCTTCCTAGAGAGGGCTGGGAATTGATCTGCTGTAATAAACAGCTGACATAACAGAAGTGGCAATAATCCCCCATTAAATATCTTTCAGTTGATGGGACTCACTGGATAATTGACTTTCCAGCAGGA